AGAAAGAATGAAGCAATATAAAATGGACAAGGAAGAGGTAAAATTATCTCTACTTACCACCTACAGATGATATGATGCAATAGTTAATTTTATGTGTCAACTTGGCTCCGCTGTGGTGCCGGTGATTAGTTCAAACTATAGGACAGGATTAAACCACCTCTTGGGGTTTTCAAGACTAAACATTTACCAGAGCAGATAACCTCGCCTTTATCTCTTTGAGTAGCATACGGTTTCAAACTGCTGACCTTGCAGTTAGCAGCCAATGCATAACCCACTACTCCACCAGCCTCCTTGCATGGCACGCAAAGCTAGCAAATAAATCAGAAGGGAAGTCTTAGAAAGTTTTCCTTGTTGTTAAAATAGGAAACTTGGGGAGAGGCAGCCTCTTTATCCTTGAGACATCTTGCAATTACAATAAGAATTGACCTAAGGCTGAAATTGTCCCTGGAATCTGAGCCTGCCTTGCTACAATATTGTTAATGTGCAGATTAACAGACTTCTTCCTTGTCCGAGCTCCTAGAGTGGGTGTGAGGCAACTGAGAAACAAGGAGATAAAAAAACCTACTCCCGGCAAGCATGTCAATTCTGACTCACAGGGACCTTGTGGGACAGAGTAAAACTGTCCCTGTTGGTCTTCAAGACTGAGGATTCAAGAAGGTAGAAAGCCTCGTCATTCTTCCACGGAGCGGCCCATGGTTTTGAACCACTGACTTTGCAGTTAGTAGCCCAATGTGTAATCCAGGGTTCTTGGGAGGTTAAACAATTTAAGTAAAATTAACTTACCTTAAGGCCATCGCAAACCAGACCACAGCCAGAACCAGTGTGTTCATTCTATAGGGCCCCTTCACACAGTACAGAGCATTAGCCCAGACCTATAACCAGGCCAAGAAGATGTGTTAGAGGGAGAGAGGCAATGAGTTGGAAGAGCTCATTCCTATGATTTCCTAATAAATTGGCTAAATATTCATGGAAAGAATGGGCAGCTCATGATCTCCCCAAGGCAGCAATTCTATCGACAGAACAACAGAAGCCTCTTCTCTGATTACTGACTGCCTCAAACTCTCACAGTCCAGCAGCCATCTCCCCGGGAACACAATAGTCCCTTAACATGACCCAAAACACTCTGAGTTAGGGCTTCAAAGGGCCTAGAAAGCCCCCAAGCCCCCAATAACTTTGAGTAATGAGTTATACTCCTGGTCATGGGCATGGATGATAATCCAAATATTTGACCAGGAGGTGCCACGAACACCATGCAGTCTTAGTATCTAGTGGCCAGTAGGTTGCACCAGTGC